GGGACTGGGGATGTATCTCAGGGGTGAAATGTTTGCCTGGTATTCGTGAGCTGTGGATTCAGTCCCTAGAACTAAACAAGGTGTCACTAGACTGAGTTAATACAAGAGAATATATCAAACTATTAAAGGATATTTTTATATGTACTAATTTTGAACTTTTTCTACTAAGTTTTTATAATCTTGCATATCCAGGCATTATTGGTGTATTTATTTAATAAATTATCATTGTATATTTTCTTCTTCTTTTTAGCAGTGTATTTTCAAAGTGTGAATTACCTTTCCTTTTCATTTGTCACATTTTTTTTTTTTTTTTGTCTTTTTCCTTTTTATCGGTACCGGGGATGGAACTCACGACTGCCTGCTTGCAAGGCAGCAGAGCTAATCCCCAGCCTCTCATTTGTCACATTTTACAATGTCTTATCTGATCTGTGGACAGAGTTTTAGCTGGCGTTTCTTACTTTTCTCATTTCTTTAATCCAATTGGTTATTCTGATCTTTTTCCATGCCATGAAGAATTTGCTGCATTTATCAGGATAAATTAAGAGATAAGCTACTGATTTTTCCACCGAGTATCTAAATTCTATACCCAAAGTATATAATATATTTTAGAAAAACTGTATGAATAACAAGGAAAATTCCTAAGGAAACATTCAGAAATCAGCTCAACTCTAAGACAATGATGACATTTCTAAACTGGAAATACAGCATTTGCATAATAGGTAGCTGGTGACCAAAAAGGCAGTAGTAGATAAGTCTATGGTAGTGACATCGTTAATATTGACAGACTTAATATACTACCTGTAGTAAATCATGTGAGTTCTGCGCTCAACTCATAATTCATTAGCTAATTCCTTCTAACATTTTTATAATCATCATTTACACCATAAAAGTTATTATCATATTTATATGTGTGATAATATTATAAAAATCTGCATTTAAATATGAACTTGAAAACCTTCTAAATTATATTAATTGTAGATTAATAGTCTTGAAAAATATGTAAAACTACTAACTTGTTGGATTTTATTTTTATTTATGGTTCAGATTTCTTTTTATGTTTTATCTAATTTCCAATTTTTTCCCTGATTTTTAAAAATTATTTTTCTATTTAACAGGAGCAACTGTCAATTAACATCCACTTTTATAAATTGGTGGAAATATTAAAAAATACTTTCTTGGTCCAGAATTTCAAAGTTCTTAAATTACACCAACCATACTGTGATCATTCTGCTGTTCTTTAAAACCCTCTCTAATCACCCCTTGGACATTTCCTCCCCAAAGTCCTGGAAAATTAACCACACAATGTAATCTAGGTTGGAGTTTGGATTTCTCCTGCATTTCAGATACTGATGTCTGAACCTTAAAGAGCCACTGTTACTGGGAGGTTTTATCTAGGAGATTCGTGTCTTTTGGGCTCATTAAGAACATTTCTGAAGATTACAAGGTCAATAGCACCTAATTACTGGACTGTGAGAAAGGTCTTCTTGAGTACATAAACCGTGGCCATGCAGGGAAGACAAGAGGTGGCTCAGATTCCGAATTTTATCACACATAAACAGCAAACAAATTAATAATCTCACTTCTACTGTCTTGGGCTAATTACTGTTGTGTAAGAACTTACAGATAGTTTTGTTCCATTATATTAAACAGAATTTATTTATCTTTTAACACTTAATTGTTGCACCAACGCCTGGGAACTCTAGAATTTTCAGGACTTGTAACAGCAAAACACCATCTTCAAATGGTTTTCAAATTATACTTTTAAAAAAATGTATATGTTTTAAATTACATTTTAAATCATCTTTCTCCACAATTCTGTGTTTTGATACTAATGCTGGACTTTACTTTTATTCAGCACATCTCTAGAACCTCAGTGACTAAGAAAGCAAAGCAGAGACTAAGACGACTTTTCATTTACAAGCTCGATGCTTCTGGTGTCACTGAACTCCCATGGTGGGTGAAAAAGTAGATTTGCCAGAGGGTCTTCTGGGATTATATTCGCAACAGTTCAAGGAGAAAAGTGGACAGAAGGGTTAGCGAGCTGCATTACTTGTATAATCTCAATTAATCCTTGGAATGAGAATGGATTTACACAACAGAGGTCCTGGCCCGAGGGTACCCAGGGAATGAGCAGGTCCCTGGCTCTGTCCATCCTGCAGCCCACCTACATTTTTCTGTGGGAGGTCATCATGAGGTCCTGAGTCTGTCTCTGTCTCGGGTGAGTCCATCTAATTGAGTGGTGATGGCACAGGTCCTCTATCGGGTTTGAAGCCCCCACTACGCTATGGGTGGTATAACCTGGCATTTTACTAAACCTCACTGTCATCAATGATCTCATCTGTAAAAAAAGCCAGATGACCTGTCTCATAGGTTTTGGTAGAATTAGAGCTAAAACCTGAAAGGTATTTAGAATATTACCTTATCCACTACATGTTAGCTATAATACCTTTTTGTTGTTGCAGTATTGGGTATTGAACCCAGGCAGATCCTTCTTATCCATCTATATCCCCAACCTTTTTATTTGTTTATTTTGAGACAGAGTTTTGATAAACAGCCAAAGCTGGACTTCAACCTGTGATCCTCCTGCTTTGGCCTCCCACAGTACTGGGATTACTACTGTACACCACTACACCCAACACTAGATACTCATAAAAAATATTTCGTGCTGTGAAGGTACGACTGAGAACCTTTCTCTTTGACATAACAACAGGGACTCAGAGAAGATAATGTTCAGTAGGATATTTTGAATGTTAATATACGTTTGCATATTTTTAAAAAATGGAACGAAACCAACATTGACTTTCAAGAGTTTAGTTTGGAGGTCTATTACCAGATATGTTATAGTCCTGTTACAAGAAGTAATAAGGATTTATTTGCAGGCCAGATACATATTAACCATGCATATAGCTAGCATCTTTTAGAAAGTATCCATAAACTAGTACTTGAAAACAACAATAAAGCACTAAACTATTTCCTAGGGGCTTGAAGGAGAAGCACTCAACTTTCCACAGTACTTTGGGAGCTCAAAGGAATTGTTTGGTGAAGCCAAGTTGGCCCTGTGAGTGATTACCATGTATACCACATATAAGCTGTGACTATTAAAGGCTGCTTTCTCACTAAGAGATTCATTTATTCCTGCCCCCCCCCCCAGTGGTAAATTAGTAATTTGCCTTTTCTACTAAAAATAAAAAGTGTATTCCTAGCAAATTTTGGATTAACTGAAGTTAATTTGCCAAAACCTTTTTTTAAACCAGATTATGTCCCAAAACTACCTTCAGAGGGAAGAGCATGATGTGTCCAAGTTGTATCAGAGATTTATCTATTTATTTTTCTTTTTGGTTTTGTACTGGGAGTTTCATAGAAAGAAGCCATAGGGTTCCTTCCATTCAGAGGTCTTTGGTGTGGACACTGTCACTTACGCTTTCCCTGCAGTGCAGATTAATACGCAGACTTGAGGGCTTTGTCACAGACTGCAAAATTATGGATCATAAAAAGCATTTATATTTAATTTTATTAGTAAGGAGAAAGGTGAATGAATGACTCTTGGGAGGTTTTTCAGCAGACTGGCGACAACTACATTTTGTAAAATCAGGGACAAGAAATGAGATTCTGTGTGTTACTTCAACTGAACCTTTGAAAAATGGTTTACTTGGCTGGGGAAAGTCAACCTTGGATGTAAAATACTCAACTGAATTTTGGGGAATGAAACACTGTGATTTAAACTTTATACTGAAAATTTTAACTAAGCACAGATTTAATATACCAATTCACATTTTACACGATTAATCATGAATACATCAAATTGTTTTAGAAATAATTAAATTTCTGTATCAGTTGGAATTTCTAACTACTCAGCAGATCTGATTAGTTATTTAAATGCTGATACTTTTAAAGATGGTGACTTCCTATGCTAGCAGATATGTGCTATGGAGTCTAGTGCCAGCAACAGTGTAATCTCAGTATGAACTATGATTATCGAAAGATTCTTTGATACCTTCGTAGGCTCTGATCAAACCAATATTACATATCCCTATGAACACTATAGAAAAAGTTCCATTGGACAAATGTTCCAAGGAAAAAGGATTCTTTATATCTCTGCTAAAGATTACAAAATATAGGACATTTTACAGTGAGGGGTTCTTATCACACACTATGGACAGTAAGATTCATTAACAAAGCCTGCTGGCGAACATCTTCAGATATGAAAAACAGTGACATTATTTGATTATGATCAATAGTAAGAATTGAAACTAACAATGTCATATTTTATTAATCCAACTTTACTGCAGCCTATTATTAGTGGATATGTTTGAAATGGTGAATTTCTTCCAAGTCACAAAATCACCCTGCCCCTGAACACCGAAGCTGGACTGCCTATAACATAGATGACTATGCAGTTACCACTAGTAGGCTTCCTATTTTGGTTTCCAAGTTTAGAGAACAGTCTTACAGACACTGGTAGACAAAAGATCTTCTGGTTTTTTAAAAAACTCAATTTGAAGCCTTTCAAGGGAGATAAAGTTGCTAGAAATTGTACTTTGTCCTTATTAAATTAGAAAAATAAGAATGTAACAAGAATCTGAGGTTTGTTGGCCATTAAATAAAAATAAAATACGATTCCAACTGAGACAGTTCTGATTATGAAGAATGACTAAATTCACTTTAGTTAGCAGCACAGAAACACAATACTACTAAGTATTCTTTTATTTAGCTTTTCTGTACATTAGTTTTATAAACTGGCTCTTTTAAAAAGTCATGTATTCACTCAGGTTACCAAATTAATATTTTAGGGTAAACAGGAAAAGCCAAATTAATCCAGACTAAGGACTCATTCTGTGCAAACTTCTTCCATAATATTCTCACCTCCTTCTCTCCCCCCTTTTCCTCTTCTCCTCCTTTCCCTTTCTCTCTTCCCTTCTTTTCATCTTTTTGTAATAGCAGTAAAAACCAAGACCTTGTGCATGCTAGGCAAGCGCTTTACACCCCCAACCCCTTCTTACTTTGTGACGAAGATGCTTGATCATTCGTTACATTTGCAGACTTCTTGTCCAGCTGCAGGTAAGCCAAAAAGTTTACTGAAGTTCAGCAGTATTAACTGGTTAAATGTTTAAAAGAGAAAAAAAAAGTTCTACCTACTGAAGAAAAGTGATCAATTGGAGAGGATGTGAAGTCCAATGAGTTCGTTTTAGGCTGTATGTATAAAGGTTTTGCTTTCTGAAAGGCATAAAAGGTGAAACAAAAGTCAAATCAAATGGATAACAATGTTCACCAACCCTTAGTCAACTAAAATATGACACGTCTTGACATTCCTGATTTATTTGCTCAAATATTAATTCAAAGGGTCCTTTTCTTTATTCAGGGTACAATCAGAAGAAAACGTCAAGAAAAAATGTTTTCCTTAGTCTTTTTTGATTCTACTTTCTTCTGATTGCCTTTACAACCTAGCTTACTACAAGTTGGTCTTTTATCCACCAGTTCTGCTTCCACGAGTTCAAGCAACTACAGATAGAAAAAACCCCCACAAAATCACATCTGTTATGAACCTATATATGGACATTTCCCCTTGTCATTATTCCATAAACAATATAGTAAGACACACATATACATTATATTAGATATTACATGTCATCTAGAGATGACTTAAAGTATACAGGAGGATGTGTGTAACTTACATGCAAATATTACAATATTTTTTTTTAAAAAGTGAGAATTCAAGGATCCTAGTATCTTCAGCAAGTCAGCCTGCCTTTCCTGTGGTTCAGTGATGGCTGTGGGCCAAGAAAAGAACCAAGAAGTCAGCCTGCCCTTGAACCAGCTGGCATGGGCTGGGAGACAAGAAGCCCCCCCCCCCCCAACTGGCCACATGTAGGCAGTCAGCTGATTCAGAGAAACACAGGCTGGGATCATAGCAACTGAGGTACAAAAACAACTTAATGCTCTTATTGATTGATTGACTTTGCAGTCCTGGGGCTGGTATTCTGAGCATCTGTTTAGAGAATAACAATATGCAATGTACTAACTATGCGGGATTTCCTTCTGTCTCATTTTTGAAGTCCAATATTGTTCCCACAGTTTTGTTTCATTTATTGTTTTGTTTTATTCCCTTTAAGATATAAATAAAATAAAAATGCCTTGCAAAAAAATAAAGAAATGGAAAAGACAAAAAAAGAATCCTGATATCTAGAAACCAACTTCCTTCAGATATTCTGGGATAACTACACTTATAACTGGTGAGGAACCACAAGGTCACCCCTAGCACCACAAAGCTACAGGGAACTTCCTATTTCTCAAGGGCTAAATGACAAAAAATAAAATTCTTGTGGAAGTTCAGAAGCCAAAGCACACAAACAGGATTGCTACCAACATCATATGGTGCAAAGCAAACAGTGACATAAAAACATGCATGTGAAGCTGGAAGTGGTGGTGCATGCCTCTAATCCTCAGTGCCCCTGAAGCAGGAGAACTGCAAGTTTGAGCCCAGCCTGCAGAGTGTAGCAATTTATTGAGATCCTGCATCAAAATAAAAAAAAGACTGGGGATTTAGCTCAGTGCAAAACAGAGGTTCCCCACCGAAAGGTGGGATGTATCCTATAATAGAAGACTAGTGTGCAGAAGTTTTTCTCTTTTAGTGACATAAAATCTTGAGCTTGTATTGAGCACATCTTAAATTTAAAGTAAAAAAAAAAATGTGCCTTGTATATGCCCACCTCAGCCACCAAGTGAAAAATTTTAAAGGTACATTCATCTTACTATCTATACGTAGAACCTATTGCTTGTAAGTAGTATCTGGTATTCCAGCCAGATCCCTGATTAATGTTGCCGTTTACTCCCCAAGGTGGTCCAAGCCACTGCTGTCCTGCACCTGTACCACTCCATCATTTCCTAGCCTGTTTCATTGCCTTGGGGTATCCTCTCTCCCTCACAGCTTCCACCACTGCCACTTTAACACATCACGCAAAATATCTTACTCTGCTCTAACTGTGACTGTGAAAGAGAGATAGGGGCAATACAAGAGGACGCAGGCAATAGCCATGGATTTCTATACATGTTTATCCTACAAAGGATGAGAAAAGGATAAATAAAATGGAAACTATGAAAAAAACTATTAAATTAAAGGAAAGAATTAAGTAGTCATGGGGAGCATTTACTTATTAAAATAATCTATTATTTGGTTGAGATGAACTCATTAAGCTTGTCCTTTGGTCCCAGACATGAATACAGGAATATATGGCTTTTAGGAAACAAAGGTAGAAGACTCTAGAAAGGCATGCATTGAGATGCCTTTTGATCTTTGAAAGATGCTTGGAAGAAAAATTATACAGTGAGAAAAAACTTGTATTCAGAATATATAACAAAGGTATTATGGAATTGATACAGAAAATTACTAGTAAATAGAATCCAGGAGTTGAATTTAAATTCATATAAGACTTCCATTTCGTATTTTCTTCAAGGTAGCCATAAACTGATGGAAAAAAGTCAAGAATACTCAGATGTAAGACCAAGTGAAGTGGAAATCCAAGGCTCCCATCTTGTAGCTCCCATTTATCTTGAGGGCATTTGTTAACTTTATGAATACAGCCAAGCGTTGTCAAAGGTCCCATGACTTAGGAAGAAGAGAGGGCAGAAACCAGGGCTCACTTAAGGTATCCAGTTTAACAAGACATCTCTACCCACTCTATACCTGGATCTTCAGTAATGACCAGTGGAATGATACATAGGGAGCTAAGTGAAAAAGCAAAGCAAAAACTTGAATAGTAGGGAAGTTTTTCCAGACAACTGTATGCATCAGCTTGTCAGAGGGCCTGGCTTCATGAGTTAAGAAATCTTTGCTATTGATTTATTTTTAGACTAACCATGATAAGCTACTGGCTTAAGAGACTTAAGAAATCCAATTCAACAAAATTCCAATAAAAACCCTAGCAACATTTTTAGAAGTAGATTTTCTAGTTCTAAGAACACATTAAGCACTAAGAATAGAGAACTATTAAGACAATCATGAAGAAGAGGAATAAAATCAAAGGATTTTTATCAACTTTTGCTGTAGAGCTATTCACACAGTGTGTTATTGAAAAGGATGATAAACCAACAGGATAGAACAATGTGTTTAGAAATAGACTCATACATACACACCCTTTAATCGAGAACACAGAAACTAGTAAATTTCAATAGGTAAAGGAAGATCAAATCATATCAGAAGTATATGTGTAATGTCAGACACAGTCATGGCAACAGGAAATATAATCTGCTGCAGGAAAAAGAGCTAAATTCATATTCCTTAAAATTGAAAACTTCTGATCTTTAAAGGATGCTGGGAAGAAAAACTATTCAGTGAGAAATGACACATCCAGAATATATAACAAAATACTAGAACTCAATAACATTTTTAAATAGACAATAGCATAGAGAAAGGCCATGGGGAGTTATTGCTTAATGATCATAGAATTTCAATTTTGCAAGATAGAGTTTTACAGTTTAGTTGAACAACAAGGTGAAGATATTGTACTTAACACACATTGGTGGTTGTAATGGTTTGTGTCTAGATGTCCCCCCAAAGCCTAATGTGATCACAAGGAGTGGACTTCTCAGAAGCAACTGAATCTAGAGTTTATGATTGGTTCATTGTCTGGTGCTAGGGTTAGGAGTGTGAGCGCTACATCCTGCTACACGTGCCCTAGCGTGGGTAGCCTGCATACAGTATAAGGGTTGGGAAAGAGGCTTATTTCCCCCTTTTGCTCTTGTTGTGTTTGCTCCCTTCTGCTGCCATGAACAGTTGCCCCTCTGCCATGTCACCCTGCCTTGGAGCCATCTGTCTATGGGCTAAAAGAATCCTCTACAAATTGTGAGCTAAATAAACCTTTCCTTGTTTCACTCTGGGTGTCGGGTATTTTGTCTCAGCAATGAGAGAAAAGTAACTAAGACAGTGATTAAGATGATAAATATTTTGTGTATTTTACAAGCATTTTAAAAAGTATTGAATAGCTCCTTCACACAAGACCTAAAAACAGCCAATAATCACTTGAAAAGATGCTGAATACCAATAATGTATCAACACAGAAAAGTTGTCTAACAGCAGTAATTAGGAAAAATGGAAATTAAAGCTACAATGAGATAAAATTTTAGAATGGTTAAAATTTAAATATTAACAACATCGAGTTAGCAAGGATATGTAGCAACTGGAACTCTCAGTCTTTACTAATGGGAGAGTAAAATGAAGTCACTTAGGAAAAAATGGCAGTCTCTTATAAAGTTAAACATATACAAGCCAGTCCTCTTTTTTTTTTTTTTTTTGTACCAGAAATTGAACTGAGGACCTTGTACCTGCCAGTCAGGTGCTTATGCTGCTGAGCTATATCCCTGGCCCCTAAACCAGTTTTTACTTGGGAAATATGAAAATATACTTCTAATGTTTATTGCAACTTTTTCATAATAGCTCCTAACTGGAAAACAGTTCAGGTGTCTAACATGGGAATAATGGACACACATATTATGTTCCATTTATACTCAGCAACATAAAGGAAAACTGTGATGTATACACACAATAACATGAATGGATAAAATATTTCACTGTGTAAAACAGATCAGAGAATACATGCAGTGCTCTGGGAATGTAGCTAGTAGCAGAGCACTTGCCTAGAGCCCTGAGTTCCAGCCTCAGCACCAAAAACTAAATAAATGAATAAAATAAAATCATAGCAATGCTTATTTGGTGGGGGGATGTGGGCACTGAACTGCCTAGAGAAGGATATGAGATTATAAAAATATTTCACATCTTGCTTTAGATGATGATTACATAGGTCCAGACTCAAATGATACACTTAACATTTGTGCATTTTACCATTTCTAAAATATACATCATAGTAACTGAATGTAAACCTTTTATTTTATAGCATTTATTCAATCTGAAATTTAAACTGTGATGTTTCCCTGTTAATGCCCATTTTTCCTACACTGTAGGTCAGGTACTATTTCAAGCTCTGTAAGAAAAAGAGCTTCTAAAACGAGCCAGTCTGTGATCTTATGCAATTTGCAATCCATGAAAGAAGGGGCCATACTTGTTCTTGTGCACTAAGTTATTCCAGAAGGTTGTACGGTGCTTGGTGTAGGTTTGTTCTCAAGGAATATTTGTAAGATGGAAGAGTACCCAGAGTTTAGAAAACCAAGAGAAAATGTTTCTGTATTCAAAATTCACACACTGGCTCACTCTCTTTCTCTCTCTGTTTGTTTGTTTTTATTTGAAGAGGGGTTTCAAGATTTTTGCTCTTTCCAAACAGGTACTTATGCTACTAAGCTATATCTCCAACCACTTGCTGATCGTTTTTCATATGTTGCTTTTCCTGATGAGTATGTCAAGTGCCAGCATACCATGTGGGTGTGTAAATAAGGATTCACAACTTTGAATTCAGCAAGCAGTGATCTGTGGAGGGACTCTAGACTAGATGGAACAGCATCCTTCCTCTGTGAATTGTGGAAGGATTTGAGGATGAGATTAAGATTTTGCTCAAGAAAAAAAGACTGGAATTACTAATGTGCTTGAATAATTTTGAGATTTAGAAGTCTGTTTCATAAAACTCTGACAATTCACATTTGAATCACAAAATTTTACCAATAATAATCACTAAAATGTTGAATTTTGAGTGGCAATCCTGCTCATGGTTCTGCCAGTATTTTATTTTGTCCAGCAGCTAAAATATCTAAAATGAGAATTAATGTGATTGAAATTGTAACCGTCAAGCAAGAAGAGGAAAAGTCAACAGGGGAAGAAAGATAGTACATGTTTCTTTAGTGTAGATCAATTTTCAAACATTTCTTTCTTTCTTTTTTTTTTTTTTTTTTTTTTTGTCTTTTTCCTTTTTATCGGTACCAGGGATCAAACTCATGACTGCCTGCTTGCAAGGCAGGCGCTTATGCTGCTGAGCTAAATCTCCAGCCCCATTTTAAGCAAGTCAATCGTTAAAATATTCAGCAAGATGCAGATTACTATACAAATGCAGTTAAAAATAGGAATTAATTTAATGTTTTATTGCTGGTATACTTAAGTTCTTTGATCTGCAGTCACTTAAATTTAGGAAGTTGTCTGAAAGTGACAAATGTTAAGAACATGTTTTAAAAGCTATTTTTGATGGTATTCCTTTTGAAGTAAAACCTCATGTCTTACATTTTTGTGTCCTTTACTAGAAACCTCAGTTCTCTTAAGGAAACTAAGCATCATCTAGAAACTTGGTAAAGTCTGTGCCAAGTTATCAGTAGAGATTTACCATATCTGTTTCTACACCAGGCATCACTTAGCTTTGGAATCAGGACCCCTGAAGGAAAATAAAAGATCAAACAGGCTAATAATAATCTACTGCAGAACTGGATATGGTCTTCAGGTGACCTCTGCTGTGCTTTGGATAGAGTTAATTGTCTCCCCCTAAGGTTCAAACACTGGACACTTTGTCCCAAGGGTATGCTGCTGGGAGGTGGTGACTTTTAAGAGATGGGACCTAGGTTGAAGTCATTATACCATTGAGGGTGTACCCCAGAAGGTAGCTCCTTTGGAACCCCATGAGTTTTCCAGAGAGGGTTGCTAATAAGGCACAAGTCTGGTTCCTTCTGTTGTCTCTGCTTCCTGGCTGTTATGGTTTATAGCTAGATGTTTCCCCAAAGCCTCCTGTGCTCATAGGTGGGGCTTCTGGAAGGTGATGGGATCAAGGGTGTGACACTCATTAGTGATGAGATTATAGCTAAAAACTTTGTTGGGAGGCGAAGCCTGGTTGGAGGAGCTGGGTCACTGGGGGCGTGGCCTGGAAGGGTGCATCTCCTTCCTTCTTCCACCTTGATGGTTCTCTTTCTTGCCTGCATGCCAGGAGCTTTCCTCTACTATGCCCCTCTTCCATTCTACCCTGCCTTCGAGCCAGCCAACTACGGACTGAAACCCCTCAAACTGTGAGCTACAATAAACATTTCCGCCTCTGAGTTGTGGGTGCTGGGAATTGTGTCTCAGGGATGAGAAAGTAACTAAAACACTGATTCAAGACAGGAGCACTTTTCTAACACACACTCCTACCACTATTTTGTGCCACAAGATAACACTGTCAAAAGGAAGCTGTTGCCACAAGCCTGTGAATATTTTGGACTTTGAATTTCTATAACTGTGAACTAAATAAAATTCTTTCCTTATCAAGGTAGTTTGTCACAAGAGTTTGTTAGTGGTGAAAGGTTAACAAATACAACATTTAGCATAAAAAATGAGGCACTTGGTACTTATCTCCTTTCCCTGCTTCAGCAATGACTGGATATTTGAACGCGGATCTCTGATCTTTCCCAATATTTTATCCACCACTAAAAATAGTCATACAACAGATACTCCAGCCAGAATGAGTCCCTTCTCTGAAATTTGTGTTTGCCTTATTGATAGCTCAACCATACTGCACTGTAGCAATTTGTTCACTGCACTCTATCTCATGATGGACTAAGATCTCTAGGTCTAAGCATTTTGTCTTATGCCCTTGGCATCTGGTAGAGTCACTGTCATGCACTATCTACAGAGTGTATAATGACAGAAAATCAATCAATTATAAATAAGAATGAAAGACATAAACATATATTTCTAAAGAGACAAGCAGTTAGTTCTAAACATTATCTGTACTTACAGTATAATTGAAGGATGTATCAGCAAGTATTGCAAACTGACGAAATAGTGTGTGCCTAGTAAACATCTCATTCTTAAGTGCATGAAAGCTGAAATAAAAGAAGTCATGAAGTTAAAGTATATATTAGGGAAAACAGTAAGTATCACAAGGAACCACATCAAAATTTTTCAATATTACCAAATAAAAAAGTAAGAATAAAGGCCAGGGATTTAGCTCAGCGGCATAAGCACCTGTCTGGCAAGCGTGCAGTTGTGAGTTCAATCCTTTGTACCAAAAAAAAAAAAAAAAAAAACCCAGACTATTAAGAAGAATTTATTATTTCTCCCACTTGAAAGATAACATATTATCTGTCTTGGCAAAGGAATAGAAATCATGCCAATGAGTATCCCTAGCACCTAGACTGTGGGTTAAAAGACATTTCTCACTAAAATGAACTGGAGCATCTTTCAGAAATGGCTCTTTCTAGATTTAAGGGAATTAATGTGCAAAATGAGCATGGACATTTTATTCTGTTGAAATGAAATCAAAGCCTGCATGAAAACAATGTGATGGTCAACAGCAAAGGGCTCTTTGATTTAAGGTAGAAGAAATTCAGCATCAAAAACAATAAGGACTAAATTCGACTAAAACACTACAATATATTTACAATTTAGAAATTCTCAATCTGTGCCAACTGCAAACGATGCTAACATTAGGATATTCTCTGTTAGGAAAACACACTCTGGAGAGAAACCAAAATAATTTTTTCTAGTACCTTGGGAGGAACAAAAGAAGAGTTGCTTAAGGGTAGGCAGCTACAGTTCTGTGATAGAGGCCATGCATGCGGCCTTGGATCTGATCACCAGCATAAATAATAAATATAAATAAGTTAATAAAATCCCAGCATTCAGTTATGTAAAAGTCCCTTTGTAGGGATTACATGTGTGTCTCATGAGCTTCCTCAGTCACCTCAGTATGAGTCCAAACTAGAGCTGGGATTATCTAGTAAAGACCAGAAAAGGCTAGTTCTATCTAATGGAGTACCTCCTCAAGCACAGAAAACAGGGCCATAAAATTTTGAGCATGTTATATCAACAAAAACACTGCTGGTAGAACTTAAAACAGAGAAAGAGGGTTATTGTACTCACCAAGTTCTATAAGCAGGAGACCAAATAATAACACAATTCAGTTGCAAACATGTTATCTTTCATGGAAAAGTAAGGAAAACTCAATGACTAATGCTTTGGGTCTAGAGGCGATGTCTAGGGTCAATAGATAATAATTTCCAGGCTTTGAAACCTAATGAGGTTTGTGATTCTGGATTTCAAAATTTTTTAGACTAAAGATTCATTTTTCTCCTCTTTAAAAATGTCTACAACTGTTATTGACATTTATGTGAATGGAATGGCCACCCCACCATTACATTTGGGAACAAATATTGTTTAATAGCTTCACATGTCTACAGATGAGAGCAAGTCTGTTCCAGAATGGATTATAACCACAGCCTCACTATCTAGCTTAGATCATGACAATTGGGCCATTGAGTTCAGCACACTTAGATACGACTTTGGAATTAGTTGTCACTGTATTGGGCTGACACTTTAGAGTATCTCAGGATGAGGGACTACATTTTTCATATGAGACAGGCATAAATATTTGGGAACCAGAAGATTTACTGGTAAATTTGATATGTCTTCCACCAAAATATCTAGCTTCTAATCCCTAGAACCTGGGAGGACCAGGACGTTGCCCAACATAATAAAAGAAACTTTACATATGTAAATAGGTTAAGGATCTTGATTATTCGGGACTATCTCTGGGTCTAATTTAATTACAAGGGTCTTTTGAGGAAGGGAGCAGGGGGATCAAAGTAGGTAAAGGGGAAGACCTACTGGTGGGGGAAACACAGGTTGGATGGAGATCAGCAGACTTTAACAGCTGGAAGAGGCAAGGAACTCACTAGCTGGGATTCCTTCAAAGAAACAGTCCTACTGACACCTCAGATTTGACTGTGTGAGAATCATTTTGCACTTCTCACCTCCACAATGTAGGATAAGCCACTTGTTTCAAGCCACTAAGGTTGTAGTAATTTTTTACAACAGCAATAGAAAACTGACATCCAGATTTTAAAATAAAAAAACAAGCAAGTCGAATGAACAGACTCTTCACAGAAGGAATTCAAATGGCCAATAAATGCATGAAGAAATGCTTAACAATGAAAATGTGGCACATTTTGGAGTACTACCCTTCCATAAAGAAAGATAAACTTAAGACATTGGTAGGAAAGTGGATATACCTTGAGACCGTAACGTTAAGTGAAATAAATCAGAACACAGGCTCTGAGTGTTGCCTAGTTTCTCTTATATGAGAAACCCAAATTATAAACAAAGAGTAAAATATAAGATAAATAACAGGAAGCAGGGAGGTAGATGCTTTCCAAGTGGGAATGAGAGGTGGAGGGGGTGGGGACAAAGGGGAAGAAGGGAATGAAGAAAAGAAAGATGTGCAACGTACACAGCCCAATCTCACACAAGAAATGTGAACATTAGTTTAAAAGGCATGTACTGAGAGCATGTAGTTAAAAAGAATAACTTTATGCCAATTATTTTGTAAAAATTATGAGTTGACACAATTTGTGTTACAATATAAATGAAAAATAAGAAATAGAAAATTTTAATAGAATTTATTGCCTTTAAACAATGAAATAAAAAAAGGATAGGAGGTTGGGGGGTAGCACTTACTTAGAATGTACAAAACCCTAGGTTTGATTCCCTATAACACAACGAAAAAAGAATCAGTGGCTTAAAATCTGCTCATCAAGACAACCCAATCAATTTAAAATGGAGTTTTGTAAGCCTTCTAATAACAAATAATTCTCATCTTATCCCCCTAAGAGATTTGGGGCAGAAAAGAAATTCTACAACTAAAATTAAGAAGCCAGTGTAATTTTGACACTGCCAACAGTGAAGAATGGGTAGAGAAAGAAAAACAACCATTCAACCTCATTCGTGGACATGCATAGACCATTCTTCAAATGGTATCAGCAAATGGATTTCCAGCTACCGGAAGTAAGGGTTTGGACTACAATCACTGGGATACAATGACTTCAAGAGCAATGCCATGCCCCCTCCTCAACTACTGGGACTCAGAATGCAGACCGCAGAAATGGAGAAAGGACCAAGAACAGGAAAACTATTGTTCACCCACAAGTCCAGATCTATTCTGGTTTGACTTGTGCGATTCTTATGAAATGCTGACTTTATATAAGATGCAAATGAATGCTTTGTGAACATTCACTTGTTAGTCAGCTTTCCATCGCTATATAAAATAGCTCAGAAAATCAATGTGAAGAACGAAAGATGTATTTTGGCTCATGGTTGCAGAGGTTTTACTTCGTAGTCAGCTGGTTCCACTGGTGCAAGGACTGTAGAGTTTGTTTTCAGAGCAGAGTGGCTCACCTCGTGACAGCCAGCAGGCAGGCAGAGGCAGAGGAAGGGACGGGGGATCCTGCAGACTTGGTTTTTAAGCACATACTTCTACTATCCGCTCCCTTCAGTTAGCCCCTCCTCCTCAGTGTATGTCACCTCCCAACAATGCCATTAAATTATGAAGGTGTCAATGAGTTCATGGGCTGTGGAAGTTACAAGGCTGGTGACCCAGTCACTCCCCAAACCTTAGCTCTAAACACTGTTGCTGGAATCAAGCCTGCAACACTTGAGCACATCATGTTTTATACTCAAGATCTAACGTACACATGTAAATTAGAGTGATTCTATGTGAGAACAAACAGGCTATCCAACTTAGAATTCTTTGTTCTGCATTACTTTCCTGCCACAGGTAGAGAACCACGATGGAAGAGTTAATTTTAACGTTTGTAAAGGCAGGGTCTTGCCAGTGGTTCAGGCTGACCTTGAACTCACTATGTAGCTCAGGCTGTCCTGGAACTCATGGCGATCTTCTTGCCTCACCCTCCCGAGTGCTGGGATTACAGGCATGTGCTACCATACTCAGTTTGAGATTTTTTTTAAGTTTGAAAAGAAAAAGTTTAAGTTTGTCAGGTGTGAAATGATAAGAACTAGGAGGGCATGTGTACCAGAAAACCTGCTCCCACTCTATGGCAAAGGTGGTAAATTAGACACCAGAAAACAGAGAACAGGGAGAGAAGTAAGGAAGGAATGGTGTGGAGTTTCTATCTAAAGACTTGTCTCCAATCTAAGAATGGAGGGTTTTATAATAAGGTCAGGGTGAAGGGAGAAGAAGGGAATAAGAGAAGATAGAGAGCTTGTACCTCGCCTAAACTTTAAATTGCTGATAGATCATGGATATGAAGACAAGGGGGCAAAAGAAGAAGTGAACGCATATAATCTTCCATCTCTGCAGCCCACCATGGTGTGGGGATCTCTGGGGTTTTCTATGGGCTCAGGAAGCGGGATGAGTCAAAGTGAGAACAGCCAGCTGGAGAGCTCCGCAGTCAGAGCAAGGCATGGCTCAGAAGGATGCCTGTGGACTACATCCTGGGTGCAGGTGAAGCTCTTGCATCATCATGGCATTGACCAGGTGGGGATCTGTCCCTGAGCCTATGTGTCACACCTGTATCCCACTTGTACGAAGAAAAATTATAATGATGGCATGGGCCAGGCATATTGCACTAAGAGGAAGGGCCAGCCCCTACCATTGTCTGCACAGGTTTACGTTTAGTCTTCCTAAAAACAGAGTCAACTCAGTAGGGAGAGAAAGCGAGCTTGGAAATGAAGCTGTGAATTGGACTGGGATTGAATATAAACTATGCATCCACTGAGAAATTATTGGCTTTCTTTGTTGGAATCATTGTTCTCTTGATGGACTAAGCTAATGCTTTTCCTCTACTGAGCATAACTGAGTGCTCTTAACCTAGGATCAGTCAGTGAAATGAAATGATCATTTTAGCATAGACAAATCTGACTGTACGGTTAACTCCCCTGCCACACCACGCTGTAATGCCCTGTATGAAAATTCTGTATGTCATTACATATATCACACTGTATTACTACCTGTCTGTGGAGAGACATAATCAATGGCATCTCAAGTTAGTCGATTAAATAAGGAAACATGGAATGTAGGCATTAATACTTCCAGCTATCCTAAATATTCAGATGTCAGCATAAAACATACAAAAAACAAACTGATGAATGTGATTGTCACCATCTTACTTAATAGCAAATGAATCTGAAGTGAAACTGGACATTTTTATAAATGGTACTTGAACAATAGAATAGATCCCATACGGGCAAAGTAAATCTTGAGGATGAAAGCAACTGCTGCAGAACTAAAGGAAAGACATTCAATTTGGCTTCAGTAGTTGGAATGAAATTAAATGAACATTTAAGTTTTCTTTTGTTTCACCCCCTTTATGCATTCTCTTCTTCTAATAGCTATGTGAAGAAGGTAAGGCAGGTATTAACATGCAAATTTTATAGAGCACAAAATAATTATCAGCAGATATGTGAACCACAAGCAGGAGTGCTAAACACACCTTGAGCTTAAGGAGAAGAGTTTTTCCCCCTTCTGATGTTATTTCTGATACTCTGTGGTTTCTGGGTAAGCGATTCAACTAATCATTTCAGTGCAATGTGTACAGCAATGTGTAAAGTTTTATGCACACAGAAGAGATAGCACAGAGGCAGGGCATTGCCATCCCATAATATCACATGCAAACTGCAAACTCAACCTGTGTTGATCTGCATCAGACCAGCACTGAATCCACTGTGGCCTGGATGATGCTTAACTATCGACAGAAATGTGAACTCAGGATAAAGAAGAGAATCTGGGGGACATTATGGCAGGAAATAAGTGAACAGAATATAGATCTTTAAAGTTAACATGTTAGAGCAAGGGGTAAAGTAAGCATTGTCTCCACCCACCACGACTATTCGCCCTTTCAGAATTTTACACTTTCATTCTTTAAAAGTTACCATTTTACAGTCACCCTTTTAAAAAACATAAAGATGAAGAAAAGTGAAATGATCACATGAGTAAAAAACATATCTGAAAGATTAATGAGTTGGTGCTGCTTTGTCTGCCAAAGAAAAAAGACAGAAAATTCACTATATAAAGTAATTTTAAGAGGACAACGTAGACCAGTTACATATCACCATGTATCATCGATAGTTCAATGGAGGTTTGATGAAACCAGGTATCAGGACAGTATGTCTATCCTTCTAAGCATTTAAAACTGGGACCCTCAGGTAGGGAACAAAGTCCTGAATTTATTTTTTCTTTTAAGTAAGTGACCTTGACTACTGTTCTATTTTAGGCCAATCATCTTAATTTTGTATGAAAGTAAGTGTGGCACTTAGCATTGATCAATATATAAAGAAAGGGATCCTAACTTCCTCAAAAGATGAGTATGGCACTTTTACATATTATCACATCATACCTGCTCCTCAGAATAATGAATTTCTTCTCCCAGTTTTTGCTTATTCTTTCTGATTCCTTTCTAAATCTGCAATAAATTTACATACAGTTAAATATCGCACTGGCTATAAATGAACAATTATGAATCATTATTTCCAGTACCTTTCAAACTTGTGTTTCATGTTCTCTAAATCAGCCTTTAATATTTCTATTTGTGCTTTCAAAGCTTCTCTGTCTTCATCCTTTCAGTAAAAGTATATCACAAAGTTTATTTCATGAGCAAAATACGGTGTTTTCCTCTAAATTTGAAAAGGTTACTCCTACTAAGTAGTATGAATATTCTAACCATTATCAGAAGTAACGTGAGAGAACCATGAGTTAGATTGACTTGTAAATTCCTATAAATCAGAAGAATTTAAGATCCCTATGTCTCCATACCTTGTAAATGACTGGAGCTCTTCTGGAACGTATTACCAAACAATCAAACTTTGTCTGTATCACAGCTGTTCCCCGAGGCGTCCTTCTTGGAAATCTCCTCCCTCCTTCCCTCTCCATGCAATCCTCTCTATTTCTTCTTCAAAGACAGCAGCTGCTCCTATTTACCCTCTTTCCCATTTCTAGCACAACAGTCCTCAGGAAAGGATCTGACTAATTCATTCACATTGGAGGCCCATGGAATTTTCTCAGTACTGCTTATATTTTGCAGAAGGACACAGATTTTAGCAAAAAGGATGAGCCTCCAACAGTGGAACTGCAGATATCATGAATGAAAAGTTTTTTTTTGGAAGCCATGACAAGAAATACTACAGAGTCATAGTAAGGGCAGTCACGTCCTCTGTCTTCATAAGACTTATTCCAAAGTAGTTGCTACTTCCTAAGAAGTGTCAGAATCCACATAAATAAAACTAGTTTAGTAGTAATGGTCATAGTAGTCATTAACATACCTTAGAGAATGATGCTTCTACCTCCTTTTCTTCACACACTGCAGTAGGTGTTTTAGGTCTAGACTGACAAGACAATAAAACAAGGTAAATGCAACATTTCAAATTAATGCATAAAGATGTGCTTTTTCCATAATTCGCAGAAAGAAAACTAAGACTAAAAAGTGCCAACTGCAGGGCTTTACTGCCTTATGTAAACAAATAAATATACCAAATAACCAATAAAGCAGGTAGTTGTTATTCACTGAAGCCAAAACTTAAAACCCTTATTTCAAAATGATGCATTTTTACTACCATAACTCTCCAGTAGAGGGGACAACAGATTTTTTGGAAATGATAAAATGTACTGATCTAAAAATCCTGGTTCTAAGGCTGAAGACACAGCTCAGTGGTAGAACACTTGGCTAGCATGTCAGGACCTCGGTTGGATCCCCACAAATACATTTATTCTGGGGTACCTCGGTACTGCAGTGCTACGGCTTATGGTGTGTGGGGGTATGAGATCCTTGGTTTGATGGCATACAAGAAACAATCTTGGTTAACAACCTCTACATTTCCATACAATAGAAAAGCTGCTACTTATTACCACCGCTACCTTCATCTTCTTCAATTTGGGTCCTTTATCCAAAAGGTCCTTTTTTTGGTCGCTCTTGCTGGTGGTGTCTGTGTCAATGCTGGAGGTCTCAAGCTTAGGCTTGGCGCTGACAGGAGAGAAACGTGAAGTGTCCTGCAGCATAAAGGAAGAGATTCAGAGCTCCCCAAACAATCAGCAGTGAGGACTGAAGATGGGGAATGATCTTAGCAAAACCCTGAGTGTGGTGTCTGCCGGTGACCAGTGCCTGGCTGGTGTCCCAGTGCTCGATTTGAAATAGCACCTTGGTGATGTAAACTTTGCCACTCACTTAGCTCTCTTAAAGCTTACACAGATGAAGGTGTGACAGGTTCAGGAGGTGTTAATAGAAACTACCAATCAGACTGAATGTGGTACCTAATTAAAGGAAATGCAGCCGGAAGTCACTGGCCTAAGAGAGGTCCGTGAGTTCCAAAACAAACTAGCAAGCAAACAAACAGAAAAACAAGGAAGTGTAAATTAGGATAGCAAACAGAACAAGCTGAAATTTGGGACCTGAGTTAACTCAGTGGTGAGGGCAGACTAGACCTGGCAGTGGCTGCAGGAAAGTCCCTGCAGAGGTCACTTGAGTATACTACAAGTGCTGAATGAGCCCTAAAGCCAGCTTCCACGTATCTGAAGGAAATAATGAGGCGGGCAGAGAGAATCCAGTTCACAACACCTGCCACACATACAAATCATGAAAATGGTAATAACAACTACATTAAGCTGCACTTTATTTAGTGCCTGTTATGTAAAAGGCCCTTCATAAATATCATCACTGACCTCCATATACAGGCCTGTTGACTTCTTATTCATGTCACTTTGGATTTTTCAGTGATTGAAAATACATGCACTTGTGCACTTCAAATAGTGCACTTGAATAGAAAATGCTCCTTTCCCAGGAGCTAAGAGTTTGTTCTTTCTTTTATTTGGTGGTGCTGGGGATGGGACTCAGGGCCTTGTTATGTGATACATGAGCTATACCACTGAGCTATACCCCCACACTCCGTCCAGTTTTTCTCATGGTTACTATTCTTATAAAAAATAATATACTTTATTTTAAATTTACACTCTTCTACAATAAAGATTAGGAACTTGGGGCATTCACCTTACATCTGCCTCTTCCCTTTCTTATATATGCCCTATGATTCCCTATCCATCGGCCTGTCTGTCTATCATGTATGTATCTACTTAGCATCTATCGATTTACCTATTTATTTTCAGTTCTGGAGAGTGAACCTAAGGCTTTATTCGTGGTAGGCAAGGGCTCTACCGCTGATCCATACCGGAAGCCTTTCACTTTGTTATTTGTATATGTCTACTTCTTATTGTGGTTATGTTCATTATGATTTTAACATTTATAAATTTTTGTACCTTGATGTATGACTCTTACTTTTCTCTTCCTTGTCCTCTCTTTTTCAGAAGAAACATTATGATTTTACGTTGCCACACTATATAACTTTGTCCTCTATCTACAGTATGGTGCTCCATGCTCTATTCATCAGTCTCCTCATTGATGCTTGAAACTGAAATCTAGTAAGTAGCATCTACAGTATGTGTATATTACTACAGAGCCAAGGAGGAGACCGGAAGCTGACAGACGGGAATGTAAACCTGTTACTGAAACTTCACTTTTAACACCATACTCTTCCAAGGGATAACACATCAGATTTCCAATTTTCCTAGCTTCCCTCACTTGTGATTAATTCTCTTCTCTTTCCTGTGTCTACATCTCCTTGCATGTTTGATTCCTTTTATATTTGGCTTTGTCATTAATGGGTAAAGTTTTTGAGTTTTTCAAGTTCAAAAACATTTTTGTTCTGATTATGTACTCAGTTGAGATTTTAGCTGGGTATACGACTTGGAGTTCAAACTGTGTATTTTTTTCTTTTGAAAACTTTGCACAATTTTCTTGCAGCAACCAGTGTTGCTAATAAGAAAATTACTGCAAATCTCCTTTATTAGGTTCCATTGTGATTAAGTTGCTTTTTTGCCCCTATTCTCTCAAATTTTTGTAATTAAAAAAATTGCTTTGTAGTTTTAAAATTTTGATAGCATTTATCTTTCTTTCCTCCTTCCTTCCTTCTTACCTTCCTTCTTTCCTTATTGTCTCCCTTCTAGTGCTGGGAATCCAACACAGAGCCTGGAACATGCTTCCAAGAGTTTTACCACTGAACTACAGTCCCAGGCTGTTTCGTTAATTTTAAAATAACACCCCTGCCCCACTGAACATTTTGATCTTTGACTGCATGTCATGTTCTAATTGGCAGCTTATTTTTTGTTAGTGTTATATAAAGCAATAGTGGGTCTTATAAGCAGTAACATCTGAGATTTGATAAGACATAGTAAGTATTCTGCTTTTCTTTTAAAAATCCTGATAGCACTTCCTGGGCCTTTCCATCTGAATATTAATGTTTGGGGTTTGTGTCCCCTTGGTTTTGAGAAAGTTTTTAAAAATTTATTTTAAGGAGAAGAAGAAGAACGAGGAGGAGGAGGTGGAGAAGGAGGAGAATAATAATGAGGAAGAGAAGGAGAAGGAGAAGGAGAAGAAGAATGAGGAGGAGGAGGAGGAGATTTTGTACTGTGGCCTTGATTTTCTGTATAATCTAGATTACTATTTAGGTCACGATGTGTGTCAACTTTAGTATGTAGTCTCCCTGTTGTCTTTAAAAATTTTTTTTGTTACTTACAAGAAGTAATTCATTTGCTCAGATTATTCCTTTTTCGTTGCTGTCTATTCCTGCTTAGTAGATAAAATATTCTCTTGAAGTTCTGCTTAAGTGCATTTTAAAATTCTTGTCTGTTTCCTTAATTGTTTTCTGCAGAGCCAAATGCTTTGTTTATTCTCTTCATTTTCTACGTACTAATCATCTACCGAACATCTTCTATGTACTAACAATTATTAGAAGTATTAAAGAGACCATCAGAATCAAGACAGGGCTGAAAAAATAGAGGAAAGAGTTGAAGGAATTTATAAAGGAGGTGTAATTAAGGGGAGTTTTTGAGTAAGAAATGAACTACCTGGAGTTTCTCATTTGGGCAGAAAGATGGAAAATTACTCCGTTCATTTAGATAAGAAGAATAATGGGGACAGAGCCAGTTTTTCCTAGTATTTTTGAATGAGAAAAAGTGATAAATTAAGATTCATACATCTCACAGCTGGGCCTAGTAGTGCACATCTATAATCCCAGCTCTGGGTGGCTAAGGCAAGAGGATTGCAACGTCAAGCCCAGCTCAGACAACTTAGCAATTTAATAAGACTCTATCTATAAATAAATAAATAAATAAATAAATAAATAAATAAATAAATGGATTGGCAACATGGCTCAGTGAGAGGTCTCTGGGTTCAATCCCCAGCATCACACAGACATGCACACAAGCAAACACTTTGAGTTTGAGGTATTCATGGCCTGTTCGTTAACAGGGATAAGGACATGGAAATTTTGTTGATCCTAGAAATAGAATTTTTAGGAGTCATCAGCATATTAGGTAAAGATAAAGATTTGGATAAGGCCATTCATGAAATTTATACATAGATAAAAGCAGGAGATCAGGAATGGAAACCTTCTCCCAGCCATGGTAGATCTATAGTTTTTTCCCTGGTTGATTGGAGAATTCTCAGGGCTAACTTAATCTTAAACCATTGCTCTTACTAAGGTAAATTCTCTAATTCAAACTCCTACTCTACCAATAACCACAATCTCAGAAAGCCCTTTGGTTGTCCTGCCAGTACCCACATAATGATTCCCTCAGTCTGCAAGTATCTCAAACTTCCTAGAAGACAGAATCTCCCACCGTCAGCAGCATAGTGACTCAGTCTTCCCAATGCCCATGCAACAGGAGCTTAGCCAAAAGAAAGCCAAAGGCAAAATCATTAGCCAGTTTTTTAAAAATTCAGCACAAAGGTTTTGTTATCATCTGCTTTCCTTGTAAAAATACCAGGGAGTCATGAAAGTGACATGAGGTGAGTGAGCAGTTGTTGGGATCCATCCATTCACTTGTTCTCAAAAGTCACAGTCCACTAGAACCACCTCTACCCAGGGCTGAGTGGCTTGACTGTCACCTATTGTCAGCAGTACAGTAGGCAATCAGGCTTGGTGTTGCATGCCTGTGAGTCCAGAAGTTGCGAAGCAGAGGCAGGAGGATTATTGTGTGTTTGAGGTCAGTTTGGGCTTGGGTGCACCTGAATTACCTAGCAAGACCCTGTCTCAAAAAATAAAACCCAATACAGTACACCACAGAAATATCTGTAATAAGAGCCCCAAGCTTTTAGGAGGTTCTTACTAGTATGCTAAAGGGGAAAAAATGTACTCAAAATAAAAATGAATCCCCAGAATAACAGGAGAACAAAGTGATAAAATTTATGCCATGTAGAAAGACATTTATACCTTGTTTTAGTATACTCAAAGTCACAAGAGTGATTGAAAATGTATTCATAAAACTTATGTGTTTGAATTCACATTCAGTGAAAATTAGTTTTAATTTTAAGGCTCCATTTTCCTGCAATGCATATAATGATCAACTATGTAATGATTAGAGATAAGACTGTGCTAAAGCATATCTTTTGTAAAGCAAATAATTATTCAGCCTCTCCAAAAGACAACAAATACTACTACAATGATGGAGATAGTCTCTCTTTTAATAAAAAAAAAAAACATGAATATTTGCTCTTTGGTATAAGATGAACTTTCAATTTTGCTATAGCATGATATATTGAACCCCGGCTCAGTCCACATGGAGCTATGATTTTGTTTTGTCAGCTGTGGACATTCCTCTTTCTCTGGAATACACATGCTGGTCTTCATGTGGTCATTTCGGTGACAAGTGCAAACACTGGGCTGCTACACAATAGATAGAGGTGAAAGTGAATGGTCATATTAACAGGAAAGCATATAATTTCCTGGCTAGGAAAATGTAAATTAAATTATGGTAAAGACAATATAAAATTATGATTATAAACAATTTGCTGTAAGTATTCTGTCTTTTGAGTTTATATAGATTTACAACTAAAAATTCATTTAGAAATGTAGGACTCATTATAATACAAGCTATACTTCTTAAATTCATCAGCACTTATGATATTTTGAAAAAGTTAATAATTTAAATAAGGAGCAACAGCCAAAATTTGTAACAGAAGCAGCACAATAATCTGTATTGACTGCTGTAATATTTACCATTTTCCTTATCACAGTCTCTTTTTTTCTTGTCAAGAACCATTTCATCCTTGCACTTCTCCTAGTTGTCATCTCTCTTCTGAAACGTTGGCTGTTCTTTCTGGGCTATGTGAAAAGTATTTTGCCTTTTTGCTTCTTTTTCCTTTAAGGCACGTTATATATTACTGTCAAAACACTCTTTCCAACTCATCACGAAGAAAAAGGATTTGCCTCCTACACTGCAATTTTGACTTTTGTATTAACTTTCTCTACCTTCCAAGCAGACTGCTACTTCTGAATCCCTGCATTGTACCAGTGGGTGGTGGTCAGTCCAGGAGAGGACCAGGACACCAAATCACAAGTTCAAAAAACCAAACAAGAATAAACAGAAATAAAGGGAAAGGGATGGGGTGAGTGCTGGATAACAAACACCCAGAGACATATTATAATCTACCTGTTGAGAAGTGAAGATAAACTCCTGAATGCATTTTGAATAAATCATGTGACAGACCGAACAATACAGTTTACAGGAGGCTGCTTGCTACTAATATGAAAACTGAAAACAGTGAAATCACATCTTCCAAATACTAAGAGTAAAACTATTGACTTAGACTTCTGTAATGAGAAAACATAGGTATCAAAAATGAAAGCAAGATAAATATTCTTTGTCAGACATAGAATAAAGTTAAGAATTCATTGTCACCAGACCAAAAGAAAGAATATAATAGGAGTCATAGACATGAGAATCTAATAGAGGTCCCACACACAAGGAAATAAACATTTTAGAAATAGTATAAACTAAAACATTAAGTACAAATAAAGGCAAATTATATCAGTTTTTGTTACATGAAAATATCTATTTTAACTACAAAGTTTTGAAGGGTGTAACATGTCAGGAACTATACCTCTGATGGGAAAATGGGAAAAGATACCTGAAGTCATTTGGAGCAAGATGCATGATGTCATAGATTTCTAGAGAGTGCCTAAGAACACCTCCTGGTCACTAGCACTAGGGATTAAACCCACGCATGACCTCACACATGCTAGGCAAATACTTTACCACTGAGCCATAAGCCCTTTCTTATTTTTCATTTTGAAAGAAAGTATTGCTAAATTGTCCTGGCTGGCCTCATACTTGTGATCCTTCTACCTTCGGCTCCCCAGTAGCTGGGGTTATCGGTTTGTGCCATGGCATCTGGTTAGAGACATTCTCTTTACTGCTGACTTACTGTGAGCTTTCTAAGGGTTCCTCTGAATTGCAATGTCTTTTTATTGGACTCTTTCCAACCAGCTGGGTGGGTGTTCCAGTCCAAAACTTTTTACATTGCTTTTTTAGTTTTTGTTCTGCTAGTTTTTCCAATGGCTGTGTAAATATCTACGTATCTGTATCTAAACCTAATTTTAATTTTTAAATTATTTTAAAATGTACTTATGCTTTATTTAATGTAAATCAGATATAAATCTTATATATTTTAATCAGGATCAATTGCATGTGGTCAACTAGAGGGATGAATCATTAGATTGTTTAGACTCATGACTATCAACTTTTATGACGTTAATCCACATAAAATGTTCCTGGTATACTTTTTGCCCTTGGATGAGCCAGAGTCCATAAATTTTATGGTTGCGAGTAACTCCTATTTCTATCCCAGAACAGAAAATGCAATTCAAGATCTGGTATAGAAAAGAGTTATCTACATTCAATCCCATGAACTTTATGGACCAGTTAATCCAATAACTGAAATATATATTTCAATGGTTGAAATATATATATATATATATATATATATATATATATATATATATTCTCTGATATAAAAATATATATCAGATAAATGATTCGACACTAAGATTAGCAGAACAGATCTTCAAGTTGATTTTAAGGTTAAGGTCAAAAGTTCAAATAAAAGTGTGTGTTTATTCCCTAACTAAGCTGTTTTGACTAACAAAACTGGAGAGCTCTTTAGATCTGCCTAGCATTACTCAATTCAGTGAGACATGAGTGGTGGCCTGAGGTTGACTGGATATGCACTCTGGGCTGGAGCTATAGCTCAGGGGTGAAGAACTCGCCTGATGTACATGGGGCTCTCAGTACTTCAGAAAACCTTGTTCTTAGATAAGCAAATTGGAAATGATATGTAATGAATGAATAAATAAGGGAGAACAGTTTCTCTTTAATAAATTCTGTTTCCTTGAACAAGCAGAGATTGGAACAGCGAGGAAAAGAAAACAAAAGAGGTATTAACTGAAGAAAAGCTCGACAACTACTCTCCATTAAGATAAATTCCTAAAAATCTATTATAACTTTTAAAGACTGATTCCCAGGGTTGGAGGAGAAAGCTGGGCGCTGGAGAGCCTAGCGCTGAAGGAGTCAGGCCGGAGTAACTGCCAGGTTGTTAGAGCTGGATCCAAGGAGCATGCCGGCGTCACAACAGGGCCTACCCTGAGTTCCATGACGTGGGCCAAGTGGCAGCACTGGCACATGCAATACTGGCATCAGGATGAATGACAATATGTCAGATACTCAGACTTCTGGGGGAAGGACACAAATCTGGGCAGAGTTAGGACTCGTGGTCACAGGATGCAGTGTTCAGGACTGTTCTCAGTTCCCAGTAGGAACTGGAGAGAAACTCACAGCTAAAGCCCAGGCAAGTGGAACAAAGCAGCACATATGTGAGGGCTAAGATGCCCGCAGTAGTGGTCCCTGCATGTCAAGACAACACTTCTGTCACCACCAAGTCAATGCCACGTTATCAGAACCTAGCACCCTCCCCCATGCCCGACAGTTCCTGGGGAAGAAAAGGAAATCATTCAAATCTCAAATTTACTATTTCTGACACAGTAAAATCTCCAGTCCTGAATTTAAATTATATTAAAACATGTGAACTGCACAAGTAAAAAAAATTAAGATTTTTCCAACAAAATAAGAAAAAAAGCATAAAATTCCTCAAGAGACAAATGATATTATTTTGAGGTGTTACCACAAAATCAAGCATTATTTTTACTAATGCATTTCAGCTCCAAATATATTGAAAGCATTTGTTTAATGTGTCAGAAAACTACCCCCAAAATAAAATAATGTAAAATGTAAAAGCTAACTTCAAATTAAAACTTAAACAGAATATCGTTCAGATTTTAAATTTTTGTTTCTGAGAACAAAATCTAAAGATGAATTCATTTCAGAGGTAGGAAAAGGTTTGCTTTTAAAAATAAAACATGACTATCTCTATTTTAAAGCTATTCATATTAATGAAACAAAAATTGAGAGTAAGGGATTTTTTTGTGTGGTGTTAGCTCAGGGCTAACACACTGAGCTACATTCTCAGTCTGTTTTGTGTATATATGCATGTATACAAGATAGATAGCTATACTACTAATCTCTGCTAGTTTATCCAAAAAAAGTTTGTGCTTTCATTGTTTGATTGATCATTTTTTTGTATGCCTAAATCTTGTAACCCAAACAACTATTTCTAAGATAACAATATGCAATATATTAGTGTTAATTTCCTACTATTTTTTGAAATTCTGTATCATTTCTATCCTTTTCTCTGTTTGGCTTTAAAAAGAATTAAATGATGTGTGAAACATAAAAAGATCATTTTTTTTAAACCTGAGAGAGGGTCTGGCTAAATTACTAAATCTCCCAGGGAGGGTTTTAACTTGCCATCTTCCTAAATCAGCCTCCCAGAGTGCTGAGAAGACAAACACCTTTGTGTTGATACAATCTATAGAAACATAGTAAACATCCCTCGGCAAACTTTGAAGACCAGAAGCTGGCCAGCGTGCCCTGTCTCTGTATCAGTCTCCCCAGCCAGTGCTTCTGGCTCAACAATGAACAAAGTGCTGGCTTTCTCACCTTGCTGAAAGAAGAAACAGCTTGATTATCCAGAAAACCAGGAGGAAGAGGAATCGACTAGTGAAACAATGAACAGATTATATTATTTTCTTCTTGAAGAACACTTTTTTAAAAACTTTACCTACAATTTAATGAAACAAAAGGATCAGGGAAGAATAGGAAATAACAGAAGAAAATTATTTTCTTTACCACTTAATATATAATAATAATTCTAGATCCTATAATGAAAGTTTAAAGAATGACCAGCTTGCAAAGTGCCTACGGTCACAATCACAAAACCACTGCAAAATTATTGTACCTAATGATCCTTGAATGTTAAAAAAAAAAGTTGTAGAGTTTTTATTAAAATCTGTATTCCTTTGTAGGGCGAGAACTCTAAGAATGGGAACAGAATCTGCTTTGTCTCTTGCCTCATTTCCCACACAGAAGGGCCTGATGCTGTGTGCAGACTTAAGCACATGCCATATGTCCCATCAGTGTGGACCAGGTCACCCCATACACACCCAGAAGTCACCCAGAGAAGCATTTAGTGGGTGCAACCTTAATTAACTAACGATTTGGGGTGGGCTAGGGAGGGGGCGGGAAACCCGAGAACCCACTTTAACCTTGATGTGTGAAACCTAGTATTTGAAATGTTTTACAGATATCAAAAAATAAACTTTACATGAAAGCCTTGGGCAAATACCAATTTTGTGTTGTGAAATCTTTCATAAGCAGAAATCAGATGGCAGTGTCCATATCATGCTTTTCAGACTGGCTAAACACACAGGTTATCACTGTGTGTGCCACTGCGAGCAGCATGTGCGTGGTTCCCACCAAGTGACACAGATTTCAAAAAATAAGTATGATTAATTAGATAAGTGAAACGGCTGATGTAAAAGTTCCTGCAGCAAGCGCTCCATTTGGTCATTTACGCGCACTAAATATTATAAAGCCCTTTAAAGACCATTTGAAAGAGGGCCCACTACAACAAGAGAGTTAAATATTTAAAGACAGAAGTAGGGAAATTATAATTAGAGTGTGTGTATGTAGAGTTAATATGCACGGGTGAATAAATACAAGGGATTGTGGGGTAAAGGACGTTTACAATAGTAGATTATTGTTATTAACAGCAATAATACATATGCTAGCAGCGACAATGAACTAGAAGATACATTCCACTTCAAAATTAAGTCAGTTAATATAAAGATGTCAATACCAGCTTAGGTCATTTCCCCTCTTCCCCTTCCAATTTTTCCTTGTTGTTACATATTAACTTCAGAGTCTCTCCAGCTGATAAAATGTACTGACAAAATAACACCTAGATAACAGTGATTATAGTCAGAAAAAGAGAGTGTGACACTGAGGGAGAAGCCTATTAAAGTGACACCTTCTTAGAGATGATCCTAAATCCCCCTTTGTCTTGCTTTTCCCCAGTGGTTTTTTTTTGGGGGGGCGGATTTAGACGTTGGCCCTTCTGGCTGTGATTCTGGAAGCTTAGCATCTATCTATAAAGGAGGACATGGAGTTTCTGGTCTGCAGTTCTAGGATTTAGTTCCATTTTGGGTTGTTGGGACCCCATCCCTTCCACAGCAGCTGCTTCCCTGCTGCTGGGACCTCAAGACTGGAGGCTCGGCTGCTCTGCCTGTGCCACTGACCCAGCTCTGTGGTCCACTCAGCCTCTGCTAGAACCTCAGACTGCAGAGTCTGGACCCAGGGCCCCCTCCACTCCCCTGACTTAGCCTTTGGAAGAAACCATAATGTAGCCTACTAAGTCCAGGGCATTGACTAGAGTCCCTGGAATCCACACAGGTCTGCACGTGCCCAGACATAAAATCCTTAAGTAACAAAGTGCTCAAGTACTTTTTAGGACAAATCTTCACGATCTGCTCAAAGACAATTTGAAAACCACTTTTCAAGAGTGGATGTGTGCAGAAGTAGCCAGCTACTGTGGTTAGTGACCTGCTGCTGTCATAAATTCAAAATCCACACCCCCCCAAATGATAATTCTGTTTGAGAAGAAACATGTCAAGAGGCATGATGACCATCTACATGCATGCAAAAGAGCAAAAGAACCCTAAAATGTCTTACTATCCAACCAACAAGCAACTCATCCTCTCTTGCTTCCTGTAAATTCTCTAAATGGAAGACAAACTTTCAATTTTTAAAATTTCTTGTCTGTCTCTGTCTTCCCCCACCCCAACACTGAGAATTTGGCCCCAGGGCCTTTGCACTAAACTACATCCCCAGCCCTTTTAAAATTTTAAATGTTGAGACAGGGTCTCATTAAGTTTCAGCATTGCCCAAACTAGATTTGAACCTTAGCCTCTCAGAGGGCTAGGATCACAGTTATATACCACCACCCCTGGTTCCCTGGTCTCCTTAATGGGCAGGCCTCAATTGAATTAATTAATTAATTATAAAAGCTTCCCTCCTCTCCAGAAAATCTCTTGCCATAGTATTGGTTTCTGTGTGTCCAGTGGCAAAGTGGTGGGTCTCCCTGCCCAGCTCAGCTGGATGTATTGACTACTTGGGCCAAGGGTGTGTTTGTGGAGCAAAATATACTATTCCAATGGCTGAATCATAAAGACCTTACTTCTAGAGCCTAGCTGCTGGGCAGTCATGAACAAACTCTCTGCCTTGGGATAGTCCTCTGATTTCTACCTTTCTACTTTATAATTTCTGGGAAGTGGAACTTCTCTGAGGGGGAAACATCTTTTATCACCTCCTGACACTTCCTTCCTGTGAAGTGGTTTCCACTGGGGTGACACCCTAACCTCCCTCTCTTCTGCCTCACACCTCTGCAGGATGGGAGGAGCATGCATCTGCCTAGTGTTGGAACAAGAAGCTGACACTTCTCCTGAATAAATTTTGGAGCAAGGGTGCATGCAGAATGCATGATTCTGCTCTCTTCTTGCCATGTTCCATGTGTGAGAGAGCCAGACTGTGTCCCCTATGGGGGAAGAGGGAAGATCACAAGAAATTGCAACATGACTAAGGGGCATGGAAGGCTGCACAGGCAAGCGGTGAACCTCTCTTCATGAAGTGCTAAGTGTTGGCCTTAGGTGTCACCCACTGGGCCCTAATCTTTCTTGAAAGCCAACACAGGAAAGGAGCCATTTGTAGTTATACCCAGCACCCACAGATCATCTCCTCAGAGAAACACAATTATTCCTATAGAGAAGAGTGGAAGAGAGTTCTCCATGGAACCATGTTGGGTAGAGTGGGGAGCAGAGTCATGGCTAAGCTGTAGGAGAACTTTTTTTTTTTAACATGGCCATGATATAGAGCAAAGGTGCCATCATAGTTCTGGTGAAATGGTTCTGAATTTTAGAGGGTAGTTGATAGGCAAGAAGGCAAAAGCATAAATCTCCCACATTCCTATTTCTGAGAGTGTGACTGAATCCAGCGTTTGACCTTGGCATCTCATATGAGCAAATGGACTGGACACGTGTGTGTCCTTCAGTAGGCTTCTGATAGAGGCTAGGAGGTAATGAGTTAGAGATTATCCTTGAAAGTGCTTGCAATACAGCTTCACATTTTGCTAAAGACAGACTCACTAAGGCACATTACTAATCTACATAAATCCCCAAGCTAGAGATGGTGGTGGCATCATCTTGGGAAAGCAGAGGGACCCACCATACCACCACCCACTCCCAGGTGGGGACAAGGCATATGGAGACTGCAGGTGTGGAGTGAGGCTGACCAAAGGGCTGCAGAGGCAGGCAAGGATGCCATTCTTACCGCTGCCTTCTCTGGCTTTGGAATTCTCTTCAATGACATTTTAGCCTTCTTAGGTTTGATGGGGGGTACACTCATGGAGGCAGAAGATGCCCTCAAAGATGTGCTCCTAGGCTGTGACTGCCATGGGGATAAAGAGGGCTCTCTCCTCTTGGATGATTTCAGGCTCTAGAACACAGAAGAATCAGCTTTGTTTGTCTCATTCCATTCCTCAGATTTGTGCCTCTTCCTGTCCTCCCCTGGTCTGGAATCGCAGACTTGTAGTTTGTATGTCCCAAAGGGCATGATCTGTTCTTGCTCCCAGGCTGCCCTGGGTTAATTTGATTGGCAACTTGGATTCACACCCTAACCCCACGGACTCTGGTATTGTAGGAAAAACACACTAACAGGTCAATGTTCTTTGGAAGCACCTGGGAAAGGGGGGGGTGTCCTGAGTTTCTGAGGTTTGCATTAAATTAGGAAGAAGGAATGGAAGGTAGGAAGGAAGGGGCAGGAATCTGCGGAAGCGTGTTACCGCTCTAGGTGCAGTCCACACACTGCTGTCCCCTCCTAATGCAGGGGCTCATATTCACACTCTTCCTTCCCTGCTGTCAGCAGTCTTTCCCTCCTGATCTCTCAGTCACACTTTTGGTTTCCTTTCCAGGAATTTCCTCTTTCAAATTCAGACATCAGAGGAGGCAAAGCCTCAGTGTATTACATATTCTTCATCCCAGGTACCAAGACGGGACACGAAAAGGGAAGAGGAGAGGAAAGGGGAGGGGAGGAGAGCAGAAACGGGGAGGGAGGGAGAATACATACAAACCCTGGCATAGAGTTCCATGTCTTCTTTGTGCTTAGCGATCTGTAAAATTCAAGACCCATACAGTTTTTTCACTATTTGCAAATATTAAAAAGGAGAAAAAGTTTAAATTGTGTTAATGCATGTTTGTGGTTCATAATAATGGCAATCACCATGGGGAGCTGGTACATGTACGTAACACTTCTGACTCTTTTGAATTCCCTTCCCATCTAGTTCCTCCACCTCTTGTCCTTTTCTCATCTTTGCTTTATAAGACATCTCTAAGCAAGGAAAGAATAGCATTCAGAAACTACTTCACCAACAGAACTATCAGGGAATATGAGTAATTATGTCAAATGTGAATTAAAAGAGAAGATAAATTCATATTTAGGAGAATAGCACTTACAAATAGGTGAACAGAAATATATAGAATGATAAATTTTAAAAGTTCTTTGTATTTACTTATTGCTTTATGTAAAATAGAGATTATAGAGAAATATATTGTTTGCTTATAATTTGTTTGATACACTATTATAGTAGCTGTAAATTCCTTATATAA